AACCTCCTTGGATAAGATTCGCGGTTGCTGCGTGGGATCGGTCGGGGTGGCCGCCGGACCACACAAGATACGGTCGCTCGACAGAAGCTGGTAAAAATGAAAACGCGTCTGCTCCTCCTTCCGAAGCAGCACTTTTTTACCTTCACACCATTTTTGAATCCGCGCGAGGTCCAGTTCTTCCACAGGGGCTTGGACGGCTGCCTGAATCTCGGCGTAATGTTGCTGGATAATGACGGGTAAAAGCGCCACACTACGCGACGGGATCAGCACGAGAAGCTGTACCATAACATCTGTCGGCTCCCTTCGTTGAGCCTGTGCGGTAGAGTCCTTGACGCCAGTGGGAGCAGGATCCGTCGCGAGTAGCAGCGATGATGAAGGAGACTTTTCAAACCCTCCAATCCCATCCGATCCCGCAGGGCTTTCCCCCTCCCTGCATCGAAGCCCACGCATGGTGGCATGGTGGGCCGCGACAAGATCCACAACCCCATCGTACGAAAGCACCCCACAGTATTGTCGGAGCTTCTCCAACGGTGGGGCATCGCTGTACGGGTAATAACACCCCCAGTGCTCTACAATCCCTGCACTGTACTGCAGCGCCCACTGCAGCATGGTCCAATAGCAATAGCACTTCTTTTCCATCATCCTTTCCTTCTCAAGTTGTTTTTCCTGAAACTCCTTGTCATCAGCGGTGAACCCCCAGTTCGATTCCGCACCGTCCGCGAAGACGGCGAGTGCGCTGAAGCCTCCCCGCTCCTGCATGATATCCGCGAGGCAACCCAGAAGGTATCGCGCCGACTCGAACTGAATTTGGTTCGTCTCCGCCACCACCACCGTGCGATGTCGTGAGATGAAATCTGAGGAAAGGATCCGAAGCAACGCGTCCAGCGTTCCCTCTCGGATGCCACCCCCCAGCAGAGGGAGGAAATCGTTCCCAAACAACAGCATCGCAAAGACCACGTCATGGAGCGCGCGTTCGAAGAACTCGCTTTCCGAGTCCTGGTGGAGTGGGACGGTCGCCGAGGGCGGCCCAAACCCAAGTAGCTCCCGCAAGGACTCGCGAAAGGCGTGCACACTAAAAAAGCTAGATAGCCAGCTATCCAAGACGCGACCCCCGCTTTTACCACCCCCATCGATGGCATCACTATTGTTTACGCTGCCCTTGCCCCCAAGCGAGGCCGGGGGCTCGTAGCGCAAAACATGGATCCGCGGCTCGTGCAGGACGAGACAGCTCACCGTAACATCGGTATCTGTGCTGCAAATCACGTGCGTGGTGTTAGGGTTGTACGCCGCCTGCGCGCGAAAGCGACGGATGGCCTCGAGGATTTTGTTCTCCCCCTCTCCGGGCCGCATCACGCCGTCGACGACGATGCAAATCGGCTTATTGGGCCGATAAATTGGCTGGCTCGGTGGCGGCGTCGCGACGCCACCCGCGAGCGTCTGTCTGGAAAGGATCTCCACCTGAAGCCGCTTCGCGTTGATGCGCTCCGTCCGGTCCACGGCGTACGCGTGGATCGCGCTGGTCATCTTGGACATGAAGGCGGTTCCGACGCTGATGCAGTTGCTGTCCCAGAGCGCGTCGACACCGGAGGGGGGGACGCCACGCGTGGACGCGGGCCGCCGCCGCCGCCGGGCGCGCTGCTGTGACATCTTCCCCAGCGGGGAGACGCCGTCCACGGCGATGAACACCAGTGCGGCAGGCTGGACCAGATCAAAGATGATCTGGTCCAGTAGATCCATCAACTTCTGCAGCACCACCTCTTCCACGGCGTCTACCGACGAGAAGCTCCCGCCGCCGGCCGAGATGATGGCGGCGGACTGGTAGATCAGGGAATTGAGATCAATGTAAAGGTTGTCCGTGTGACCGCGAACACACGCCGTCGCCATCTCACCTTCCGCAGGGTAGAAACACTCCGAGAACCGCTTTCGAAGCCACGTGAGCAGTAATGGAACTCCCATGTTTAGAGTATTTCCGCTCGTCAGATCTAAATAGGGAAGATGGTACCGGTGTACCTTTTCCTTGCCGTAGCTGCCACGTCGCGATATGCTTGCTTAATACGCGTAGATGGAAATATTAAATAGTGAAAAAAAGTGGCAATATGATAATTAAAATGACACAAAGTCAGAAAAAGCAACTGAGTTATAAGAAAGATCTTATCATCCAATTTTAGCTTTTCCTTTTTTTTTTCGAAATGTCAACATGTAAGTGAGCAATTGGATGGATCCTCGAGGCGCTCACATGCACCACAAGTAATATAAACATGTATACATTCCCATGTCCTTGGCCTCCGCCCGAAAATTACCATTGAAAAACAGAAGCAGCGATGATAACAATACACTACGCATCTTTCTCTGTGGTAACAAAGAATGATATGGGGACTGCTGCGGTTGAAGTGGTCGTGTTTTTCTTCCTGTCATCAAGATCGCAGAACTGACAGAAAATCACTCAGCGTGACGTTCCCGTCAGAATCGATATCGAATTCCTCTAGCGCCGCTTGAAGCTCGATCGGATGGAGACTGGCCAGACGCAGGATAGTTTCGTCATCCTGAAAGGTAGTCTCTTCCGTCAACAGTCGAGCCAAGACCTGACGGATATCGGACTCCGTCAGTATGCCGTTATGATCGACATCCATCTCGCGAAACACTTCCGCAGCTTCCTTTTCCTGCTGTTGTCGCACCTTTTGCACCTCGGCGCCGTCATAAAAATCCTCCTGCAAGAGAAAAAGAAAGTGGTAAAAACTCAGGCCGGGAGGCGATACCACTGTCAATGCATGCAGGCCGCCGCTTTTTAGTTCTGGCGACACATCGCTCTGCGGTGTTGCAAGGGGGTGCTCAGACCCCACGGTGTTGTGGTTCGCCACCCCTCGTTCTTCCTCGAGGCTACCGATTCCAAAACTCGCTATTTTTCGCTTCGGTGAGATCTTTTGTTCCTCCGAGCTAGACTGTTTGTTGATCTTCCGTTTTAGTGTTGGTTTGCTTAGCATCGAGGTATCACAAGCATCGACGTCGAACTCCCTAATGCGACCTGATAAACGCTCCACGAGATCGGCTATCTCAATGTCGGACTGCGCAACGCCAAGATCCGAAAAGAATGCTCGCAGACCGGTAATCCCAATGCGATACACCGATTCTGGTGCCGCACAGGGCGGCGTGGTCGTCGCCTCGGGCACCCCACCCTCCTCTACTTCACCCACCCCGTCGCCTAGAGGAGGTTCCACGGCTCGATCCAGTATGCAGTATCGTTCGAAGATCGAACGCGCCTCAAGGACCATGTCATAGGAAAGATAGAAACGTTGTGCTAGAAAACGAAGCATCGTCTCCTCCGAACTCACTTGCACAGTTGGGGCGTGACCTAGTGAGGGCGCTTCTACCTCTTCGAGCGCAGCAGTGCGGGCTGCTTTGATGGCTTTGATGGATCCTATCATGAACTAAAAGGAAAATACACCGGAAACCACGAACAGGCAATTACTAAGCGGAATGGGGGACGGAAGAAAAAGAATAAAGGATCCAAAAGACGGAAGAAGAGAAAGATCGGTTTTACATTTAGAAAAGGCTATAATTAGGATAATTGATTTTAAAAAATAGATATCAAAGACAACTCTCTATATCATTGAGGGCAAAAATCACGCATGCATGCGTTGCGCAAAAATAAAAAGGTGAAGAAATAACATGCACATATACATTTACATGTTAATTGATGTATGTGAGTGAAATTCATTAAATCTAAGTGGATTTGTCGCATAAACGAAACCACAACGAAAGCTTCAACGCATACAGTCAACCGAATGACGTGGTCTTGGCAGGGAAGAACAAGAAAAGAGATAGCAAACAAGACCATACGCCCCTTCAACGGCATCCAAAGGTACCCCCCTCCGAGCAACACCGGTTCACCTTTTTTACATTTCCGCGGAATAGTAATAGCTGAACCCCTCTTGGTTGCCATATTCGCCCCAATCACGGTGACCCTGCTGGATGTTCATGTTGGAATTGAATCCTTTTTCTCATTAATCTGCTTTGAATCCTCTAAGATGTAAATAAAGCAGATGTTGAGAATAAACAGCTGGTTTACGACTGTCGATTGACTATCCTTACGCACGTGGATATTGTTGTTTTATCCATGACTATCAAGAGTTTGTCTGCTTAAATGTAATGTCCTTGCATTTGTTAGACTTTTATATTGACAATCAATGTGCCATGAGTAAGAAAAAAATTTCCAAAATTTAAACTCATATTTTAGTGAAGTTCATAGGAGCAAAAAATTACGTATGCTTTCATGAACAAGTGAATAGTGCGTGACATCTTGGAATTATCGTGGTCTATATGACTAAAAATTTTTTTGCTCCTAAACAAGAAGTTTGTACAGCTCAAGACTCTGTTAAATTTTTTCTTTACCCATAATATTTCTTTACAAATGCTCTTTTTATCAATACTTGTTCTATCACTTCTCTCATTTCGTAAAGGTTACCTGTAGCTCCCCTTCAATCAATTATGAATATTTGTAATAATTTATAACAGTAAAATACACTACTTTAGAATGCATGCTAAGACAATTCCTTGCCTTTCTTTTTTTCAATTTCTTAACTATTAATATCAAAGGATTATTTTTGCTTGGTCACACACTATATGCATAACAAGGTATAAAATAAATGAAATAAAATGAGTATCGAAGAAAAAAACACTGGTCATATTGAAGCAATATAGCACATAATCAAAAAGATATGTAAAATAAAGAAAAGGGGATAAATAAAAACGAACAACAGATATATAGATATAGCATGATAAAATGTGTTATATCCACATATTTTAAAAATGATTCACTATAGAGTATGCAAACCATAAAACTATCAGACACACACATTGAATTTTCCATCCTGCTTTTTATAAAGCACCTTGGGCATACTAGTCAATTGACGACGAAAACAATAGCCAAAGGTTTAAGGAAGGCCAAAAGAGTAACCCTCGAGAAGACTCATTTTTGCCCCCATGGTCAGAAACCATTCTTTGATTCCAATAAACTCGATATTACGTTGGAGTTAACCAAGGTTGTGGTATCCCCAATGTCATCCGTATTGCCAGTAGCAATCTTTCGCAGCATTCGACGCACGATTTTTCCAGATCGCGTCTTGGGCAAGCCACACTGCGCGGGGCACACAAAGTCCGGCGTGGCCAGCGGGCCGATGACCTTCCGCACTGTTGCCTTCACCTCACTCAACAGCT